GGTAAGGCTTACTCCAACCCACTTGCATAATTTTTTTACGCATATTGATTTATTAACATTATAATTTCTTGTACCTAAATACCTTTTAATCTCTGCTAAATTTCTGGTGGATAAACAGGTCTATGATGGTGCAGTAGGCGATGTGACCATAACGGCTGAACGAGTCACCACCACCGACTTTACAATGCCATACACACAGTCTGGTGTGTCTATGCTTGTGCTTGCCGAGGATGAACCGGATACAATCCGCTGGACATTTGTAAAGCCACTAACTCGGAAGCTCTGGTTGGCAACCGTGGTCTTTTTCTTCTATACTGGCTTTGTCGTGTGGATGATTGAACTACCTAGAAATCAGGAGTACCAAGGATCAAGTTTGAGACAGTGTAGCACCGCCCTCTACTTTGTTTTCTCCACTTTGACATTTTCTCATGGTCAGCACTTCAAGTTTAAACTTCTTGACAATATTTGTGAGATTATGATAAGTGTTTTGATGTAGTAACACAGTTATAAGATTACAATCTCTTGGTTATCTCATGCACAGGTCATACTATTAAAAGCCCCTTGTCAAAAATTGTTGTGGTGATATGGTGCTTTGTAGTGCTGATTCTTGTCCAGAGCTACACAGCAAGCCTGTCATCCATTTTGACTGCAAAGAGACTCCGTCCTTGGATGACAGATTTTGACCAACTCCGGCACAGTGGTGACTTTGTAGGATACCAAGATGATTCATTTGTGCGGTCGTTCTTGATGAATCATAACATCAGTGAAAGCAGGTTAAGGAACTACACCACGAAAGAAGAATATGCTGATGCTTTGTGGAAGGGGTCCAATAATGGAGGGGTGTCAGCTATCGTCGATGAGATCCCCTATTTGACTTCTTTCCTCTCAGACCGTCGGTATGGAAATGATTTTAGGATGCTCGGGTGCATTTACAAGACTCCTGGATTTGGTTTTGTAAGCTACTCAACCTAATGCCTTCGTATATTCCTAATTTGTTCTTTGTAGTGCAGCCTGGACAAAAAAATGAGTTGCTGACTTAGTGTTCTTATCTTCAGGCATTTAATCTAGGTTCTCCGCTAGTTCATAATCTTTCGACTGCCATCCTGAACCTAGCAGGAGGGGATGAGGGATCACGAATCGAAGTGAAATGGTTTGGCACAAATTCATCGCCGATACGTGCTGGCACAATCCCAGACACTGATTCCACGCCTCTCACTTTAGAAAGTTTCTCTGGTCTCTTCGTCATCACGGGATCCATTTCAACTCTCATGTTGCTGATAAGCATTATGAGATTTATTTATGCCAAATGCATTGAGTTGAGAAGGGCTGATGTGGAAAGTGTCAGCTACACTGGCACCGACGATGAGTCTCGTCTGTTGCAGAATGGCATAGGTGGCAACCCTAGCCCTGATCAACAACCATTACATGAAGCTGGCAATAATCATTCCGGGGGTGTCCATATGAGTGGCGAAAATGCTGGGGACACAGAGCCTAATCCAGTGCAGCAGAATGGCATGCATGGTGGCTCTGTCCCTGCAGGACACACTCAGATTGAGATGTGCGATGTCTAAGGTAAAGGAAAGCGCCAGATGCTCATTAGTACTTCTCTCGTCATTTAAGTGATGCTGCATTCCATACCTATATAGGACAAGTTTTTTTCTCTCTTCCACACTCTCTTGGAAAGAAGAGGTAGATGCTCTGTGTGCATATTCTCTTTAGATCGGTACTTATGTTTTCAAAGTAGTACCGATGTACTATAAGTTCTGTAATTTCATTTGTACATAGATGGTGATGAGACAGGTATATTCCTCAACATTTGTAAATAACAATATAATGGTACTATTTGCATTTTACAACCCTGGATCTTTGAAATTGGAGAAGTTCATGCTTTCTAGAATGTCGCCTATAATCCGAATGGAGGCAGTGTCACATATGTAGTGTATGCCTTTAAATGTGTGATTCAGCCTACTAGGAGAATGCTAAGAATGAGCCTGGTCAAGTGCAAGCAGAATGCCGTGCATTGTGGCTCTGTGCCCGCAGAGTACATGTATATTGACATGGTCACTGCCTGAGATGAATCTGCTAGGGAGCAGGGATGCTCTGTTGCCATTAAAGTGAAGCTGCATTTCACATCTTGAATTGGATATATTCAGTGAGTGATGTGCACATTTGTCTGTTCAGATTCACATTATTTATGTTGTCTTCTCGAAGCAACGATGTACTGGTTCTCCAGCTCCTTTATAGACAGTATTTTTTTTGGCGTGTCCTTTATAGACAGTTGATGGTTGAAGCAAAACCATAATCTCCAACATACATGGTCTTGGTGAAGAAAATCTCAACTTTCAGATGAGCTTATCAGTACCGAATTTGTTGAGAGAATTTTTTTTAAAGATGCTGCTTTCATTTAACCAATGATAGTTGTTTTTCTTTAATATATCGATAATAGTCAAAGTTAGAGAAGTATGCGCGCGCCTGGAGAACACTAAGTTTGGTTCTTCATTGGCCACTTGGCTGATCTGGGAACGGATGTCTGTACCTTGAAATAACTAGCACCAATGCATTACCATGAGTCCGTGATGTGACATTAACAGTTGCAGTGAGATGGGGAGAGTATGTCAATTCCACGTCAATGCTCCAATTTAATTATTTTGCATCTGCTAGATTTCCTGACGAACTCGGACCTTCATGGGTATCCCTGACGAACTCGGACCTTCATGGGTATCTTTCAGCGGAAATATTTGTTCAACTTCATCTCCCGAGCAATAGCGGGACCAATCTTGGCGCCTTATTTGTCCAGGTAAAGTTATGCTTGTTTAGGCCTTTCGTTCTTATACCAAGTTACCAGAATATTGTAAATGGAGCAGTCCACAAATAGCCTATTTCAACAGAAAAAGAATTGGCTAGCCAGGTTTCCGTCAAGACCTTTCTCGCTAACGATTGACCAATATTGAGAAAATGGAATGCGGTCGTTACAGATCAAATATGGTATAGCTCAAGCGGCTCATTGGCTTGAATTTTGGTTAGGCTTACAATGTCGATGACTACATACATGTTGCTGCCGAAGTCTTTCGCGTCAAGTTCTTCATCTGGTTGGCCTTGCTTGGACGATGCTGGACGGCCGACCGCCTCCCGTGACATGACCTGCCCCACGAGCCTACATGTCTACTCTGTGATCAGGAGCCCGAGACAATGCAGCATCTTCTCACGAGCTGCTCCTTCTCCCGCCAGGTGTGGCATGAAGTGCTCTCCTCCACCGCCACTATCCCGGACCAAGACGAAGAGTTCATCACCTGGCTGACCTCGGCCATCACCGCCATGCCACACAGCCTACAACGCGGGCTCGCCTCCATTGTCATCCTCACGGCATGGTGGCTATGGAAACACCGCAATGGCTGTGTCTTCAACGGCGACCACCCCTCCGTGCGTCGAGCCGTCAACGACATCCGGGAGGAAGCGAGACTTTGGGCACACGCGGGCGCCACAGGACTGGCGCTCATCATGCCAGAGACGTAGTCTAGGGCCGCTGTGGCAGGCGCACCCACTCCCTCCCGTGTGCCATGGTTGTTGTCGCATGCCATCCTTGCGCTCATGCT